GAGGGAGGGAGAGGGGGAGAGAGAGGGAGGGAGAGAGGCAGAGAAACACCAATGTGAGGGAGACACATTGATTGGTTGTCTCCTGTACTCTCCCTGACCAGGGCCGGGGATCAAGCCGGCAACTGAGATACGTGCCCTTGGCCAGAACTGAACCCAGGACCCTTCAGTCTGACGGCCGCACTCTAAGCACTGAGCAGAAACCGCTAGGGCCAGGAGGTGTGTTTGTGTGTGTGTTTTAGAGGCCTTGAAATAAGATTATTCTTTTTTGGTTTTGTACTTTTTTTAGTCTACAGAAAATCTGTTCAGGTTTTCACAGATGAAATGGACAAGAAGGATCATGTCCATTTGCTTCAGGGCCCGTCAATAAGCATATGCCGAGGACAGCCTTCACTGGCCAGGTCCTGAATTCTGTTTTGTCCAGTCTCTATGCTGTCTCCACTTTGGGTCTCAGGTTTTCAGGGTTCTCTGCAGTTTGTCTTCAGTTGATTATTCAGGGTGTTTTTCTATATTTTAGTTGTAATTCCAGTTTGGTCCTGGGAGAGTGTAGCTTCCACTCAATCTGCTGCCATCTTCCCAGGATGTGTGTTTTAATCTGAATCCAAACTTAATGACAGGAAAGGACTTTCATAATTAATAACTAAACAAAGTTATATAGACTCTTTTTAAAAAGCCATGTAAATGTTTATATGTATATATTTTCGTAGAAAATTGTGTAAAGGGTATTAAAAGGGTTACCTTTTGGTAGAATTTGCCACAACTTCACATCCCCCCCTTTATTTATTTTTTTCCCCAATTTCCTGAATAATGGAAATTTTAAAACATACACTAAAATAGACTAGTATAATGAATTCCCAGGTATGTGGTTTTAATTTTTCTTGATTATTAATAAAGTCAAGCATCTTCCTCATATTCATGAGCCATTTATATTTTTCCTTTACTAAAAACACGTGACTTTTGCCCAGTAAAATTTTTTTCTTACTGATTTGCAAAAGCTTTATTTTTAAAATTATATATATATTCTCGATAATAACCCCTCTCAGTTACATCATTACAAATCTCTCTCCTGCTTGAGGCTTGTCTTTTCTCTCTTTTTGATACCTTGTCTTTAATGAAAAGCTTTTAATTTTAATATAGTTGAATTTATAAATATTTTTCTTCATAATTTCTCCTCTTTTTATCGTGTTTAAGAAATCTTCCCTACTTCTGGTCAAAAATATTCTAAGTTGACTTGCAAAGTTTTATAGCTTTGCCTTTCATGTTGAAATTCTTAACCTACTTGGACTGACTTTTGTTTACTGTGAGAAAGCCCATTTTCCCCACATGGATAACCAGGGTCTCTGTGATGGACACATCAGGGCACCTGTGTCTGAGCTCCTGCTTGCTCACTGGTCAAGCCTCCCCTGACCAGCACACATTGTTTTAATACAGGGCTTTGTACTACGTGCAGAATTTCCTAGGCCCCACAACCTGCTTCTCAGTCACATCCTGGCTGTTCTTGATCCCGTTTCCCCTTATGAATTGTAGAGCCAACTTGTCAACGCTCATAAATTCTGTTGGCACCTTTGCTAGATCTATCCCAGGAGAAAACAGAAGACTTTGTGATGATTTAGTCTTCCACCCAAACTATGGTGCATCCACTCATTTAGGACTTTAAAGGGTCAGGTTTACTCATGGTAACACGTGACATGAGCGAGCACTGGGCCATGATATCTGTGACGTGCCCGAGACAACGTAGAAACAGCACTGTGTGTGGAGGGTAGAAGGTGTGGAAGAGCACACAATGGTCACAAAGGGTGAACCTGGGCAGGGGACACATTCCTGTTCCTGCAACTTTTCTGTATATGTGCAATTATTTCCAAAGTTAAAAATTAGAAAAATAAAAATGAAAGAAAAAATAAAAATGATGAGCTATGGCTACCTGCCTTGGGCCCAGCCTCAGGGCCTGCAGGGTGTCCGGCCTAGGCAGCAAGTCTACCTTGTGTGAGAAGCAGCCCCTCCCTCTGTTCTGAATCTGCAGCACGAAGTGGGGACCATGCCTTGGGATTGGGCTTCCATACGAAGATGGCAAATTCAGAAGTGAGCACAGATCGGCCTCAATCCCTCCCCACTGAGCCAGTCCTCTGATAACCTAGCACCCCCAATGGCTTCTCCTCACCTTGTGCCCGACCCTGAAATCCGAGGCTCTTGCACACCAGCATTATGGCTTTCACATTCGTAATCCTGTGTCTGGGACATTGCAGCCTTTTCCTGAGGACCCAGGTGGACAGTCTCAGCAGATCATTGGGATGCCCCGTCCAGCATCACTCAGGAAGGTGCCGCCCTGTGAGAGAGCAGTACTGTCTAAGCACATAAATTCAGAAAACATCTTATTACACCTTTGGGTTTCAGGAACCAGTAACAATTCAGGTAGTCCCTCGCAGCCCAGTATGCCGGTGAGAATGAGGAACGCCCAGTCCTGAGAGAGCCTCTGAGCTCCCCGAGCCATGCTCCTGAACCCCAACCAGGACCCAGCCTTTGCCAGCCCATGAGAAGCCATGCAGACCCCCTCACTCACTGGCCCTAGGAGAGCTGCCCACTGCCTCTGAGATGTAGAGCCCTCTGGCTGCCAGGCAGCGCGCTACTGTGGAAACTTGGGTGAAGCTCCCAGCACAGCCCGACAAGGCAACGCTCAAGAACATTCAATGCACCTGGTTTACGACAGTGACGTCTCAAAAGTGTTGTGGTGACTACATATAAACAGAAAAAAAAGAACCCTGATCCAAAACTCATTTCTAGATAAACTGTGGATCTAAATGTTAAAAGTAAAACAGCAAGGCTCTTAGAAAAATGTGGAAGGAAATCTCTGCGATCGTACAGGAGGCACAGGCATCTTAACCAGAATTTAAAATCGGACTATAAGACTTCTCACCGCTGGTTTTGAGCAATTTGATTATGATGGGCCTGTGTTATTTTATTAGTTTCTTGTGCTTAGTGTTTGTTAAGACTGTTTGATTTAGGTTTATTGTTTTCACCAAATAGTTTTCCTGTCCCTTCCCCTTTGGGAACTCCAATTACACAGACACCAGCCCTCCGACAGCTGTCCCTCATCTCAGTCATGCTCTTTTATGCTTTTATTTATGTTTTTATTGATTTCAGAGAGAGGAAGGGAGAGGGATAGAAACATCAATGATGAGGGAGAATCATTGGCTGGCTGTCTCCTGCACGCCCCCTACTGGGGATGGAGCCGGAAACCTGGGCATGTGCTCTGACCCAGAATCGAACTGTGATCACCTGGGTCATATGTTGATGCTCCACCGCTGAGCCACACCAGCTGGGCTGGTTTTGCTTATTTAAAAGTACTTTTCCCCTCATTGTTTTAGTGTGGATCAGTCTCACTGTTTTGTCTACAAGTTCACTAATCTTTTCTTCTGCAGTGCCTATTCTGCTATTAATCCCATCCAGTGTATTTGTATTCAGACAGTTTAGTTTCAGCTCTACAAGTTTAATTTTGTATTTTTTTTAGTTAACTGTCTTCACCATGTCTGTACTTAATGTGCCCAGTATTTCCCTGTTTTGGGGCATATAGAATGCAACTACACTGCTTTAAGGACCCTGTCTGCTCAGCCTGTCATGCCAGTCAGTTTTGCATCAACTTTGATTGACTTTTCACCACATTATGAGCTGTATTTCCCTTTTGTTCCATGCCTGGTAACTTTTTATTGGATGCCAGACATTGTGCATTTCACCCTTTGGAAGCTGTGTACTTTTGTGTTCCTGTAAATATTCTTGAGCTGTGTTGGAACACAGTTACTTGGAAACAGTGAAACTTCTGGATCTTGCTTCTAAGATTGATTAGGGCACCAGAGCAGCATTTATGCCTGGGCTGACTGTTCTCCACTGCAAAATGAGGTATGAAGGTTTTCAGTCTGCCTGATGACAAGGCCCAAACACAAGCAGTTCCAAGTACGAATGGCCCTGCCCTGGCTTCTGTATTTTCCTCACACCATGGTAGAATAGCACTCTGCTGGAAACTAAGGCAGGTCCTCTGCACATCTCCAAGTTCTCTGTTTGCAGCTCTCTGCTCTGAGGTACACCTCTACAACCTCCAGTCACTGCGGTCACCCTGGACCCTGAGCTCCCTCTCCTGAACGCAGGCTCCTTGCAACACAACCTAGAAACTCCCCAATGCACGAAGCTGGGGAAATCTTCAGCCTCATCCTGTTTGATGCTCATCTCACGGGATCACTGTGGTGTTGCCTCATACCCGAAGTTTAGAAAAACTCAGATTTCATATATATGTCCAGCTTTTTATTAGTTCCGGGAGATGATAAATCTGATCCCTCTTACTCCACCTTCTGGGTGATGCTGCTGCCTCCCTCCCAAGAGCATGGTTTACAATTCTGACACTGTGAGGTGTGTATGGGAACTGAGCAGTCAGGAAAACGCTTGCTTCTGATGGAGTGGAAGGTTACAGAGAGGCAAGGGGAGGAGTCTAGTGTGATCCATGGAGGGATGGATTAGACTGGGAGACATCAGCAGGAACTTGTGTTTAGTGGAATATAGACACAGATGGCTACATCTAGAAACACATGTATATACACATAGGTCAATATACACACATATATCTCCTTGCTGTGGCAGCTGAGAAAGCCTAGAACAACAGGCCATAGCAACTAGCACAACCAGCCCAGATCCTGGCTTTAACACCATTCTATAATGACAGGAACCAGGAACCCCTGGAGGAATGGCTGAGATGACTGCAGTAGGAAACAGGATACAGAGAAGAGCTAAATAAAAACAAAGCTCCACCATAATGGGGTATGGCACAGGGACCACAAAGCCAACTGAAAGCGTTCCCAGTGACCAAAGCTGGAGCAATTTGAGCAAGAAAAATATTATGTTGGATTATAACCCAAAGTATAACATAAATATCCAAAAGCCCATATTGATATAAATACATAAATAAATAAATAATAAAGCAGGGAGAAACAGACACAGCGCCCCTGCAAAAGAACAATCTGTGCAGCCACTCCACCCTCCAGGAGGGGCACATGACTCTCCTCACTACCTTCTTTGCAAAGCTGCACACACACCTCAGCCAGGTGGGGCGCCCAGGCTGGCACCCAGCAAGAAAGCCACCTGGAGAGCACGTGTCTCAGCCTCCAGGCTGCCTTCACTCTGCTGCCTCGGGAACATGCCAAAGGCAGGTGGGTTGCACAAAAAATCGATTCGTTTAGCAGGTCCTATCCCAGCACTGGTCATTTTGTTCCAATTTGTCCAGGAACATGATGCGCCCTCTCAATGCTCAGAGTCTCCTGGCCTTCGGTCCAGGGAGGCCCTGCTTACCTTGGCGCTTGGAACCCTGGACACTGTATTTCCCCTGCTTCTGACGCCCACCAGGTGCCCAGGCTTCCCCTTGGCTCCCCGCACGGGTCACGCTGACCACGTTTGTGTCCATTTTTCACTGCACAGCACGTTCATTCGATGACAATTTTTTTCAGCCACATCCATGCTGTTACTTGCTGTTGCTAACTGGGCTCTCAGGTTTGTAATGGTTTTTTGTCTTTTTCTTTCTTGGTTCTCTCACATTCTCTCTTTTGGTTAATTTTGTCTCTTCTTTGAGCTCTTTTTATTTATGTATTTTGAATTTGTATTTTTTAGCACACAGAGAGGGTTCTATCAAAAATTTCCTCCTGTCTCCTGGGTTAATTCTTCTAAATGTCTTCTCACCAGCTGTTTCATTGCACTTACTGCCTTTTCTTTTCTCTTTCTCTTAGTGTCTACATAAGAGTTCCTTATTGGCTCCCGATCACTGCTCACTGTTAAATAAGGAAAGGGACAGGAGTTAGGGGAGACTAAAATTAGGTGTGTTGTTCCAAAGGCTCTACTGCCCAATATTCTTACAGGCTCTGCTCTGAAAATGAGTTTCTGGTATTAGAACATTTTTTGGTTGCAAGAGGCAGAAACTCAACTCAAATGGAAGCCCTGCACCCTTACCTGACGGGACTGCCTGGGTGAGACTCAATGGCAGGACTCCCAGGAAGGCCTGCGGGCTGCTCCCCTTAGTGCTCTGCTCAGGCTGGCTGCACTTGCAGGCGGGCCCTCAGTTCACCACAAAGCAACACCCCATTCCCTCTGGTGCCAGCAAGAGTGTCTTGAGGGTTTCTAAAGGCCCATCAGGGCCATGGTTATGGCTGGTGCCATGAGGTGGGTGGGAGGGCAGCTCCCCAGCAACAGCTCCTTTAGGGTGACCGCTGGCCCGCAAGGTACACCATAGAAGCCATGTCTCGGACAGCAGAGGCCCCTCATCTCGGCCGGCAATGGCAGCCAGTGACCGGGGCCTGAGGACCTACGGGGGCCACCAGCCCCACAGCAGGTTGAGACTCCCCTGTCATCTTCCCTGTTCCCTGGAGTCGCATCTTATAGAAAATGTGGATGGAGCACCCGCAGCTGGCCTCTCTCACCTGGCACCCATGTCCAGTTCTCCCACACCCACCAGGACCACAGGTCCACCTGTCAAGTCCATGTTGTCACTGGTATCCCTAAAAGTCCTCTTTATTAAGCACAAACTCAGCCTGCTCAAGGCTCTGGCTGCCACTCCTCCCAGCTGGCTGACATCCTTCTCTGACTTAAACCTCAATTCCCTGTTTTTCATTCTGTTCGTTCATTTCAGTGAATAGGCAAGTGTTGACTCAGCTGTGGTTTCCAGAAGGCCTGAGCTCCTCTCTCAATGCTGTTTTCCTGTCTCCCCAGCACAAACAATGAGCACTCAGTTCCACGTCTGCAGGCTGGGCTCTGAGCTGCAGCACAATGCCCCATTCTGCACCACAGGACGGCTGGCATCTCCGCACCCGCGCCTCTGCAGCAGCTGCTCACATCGCCTCGCCTGCTTCACAGGATGGCTGTCCTTACCGTTAAAACTGTGACCTGACCCATTGTCAAGTCATCAAATCAGCTTGCAGGTCAAGACCAACTTCCAAACCTTCATGGGAGCAGGGAAAGCACACGTGCAGAGCCATATCGCTCTCGGAAGTGGACCTGACGATGGCACTGTCGGGGATAGCCCTTGGCTTCTGCCTGGTGCCAGGGTCACAGGACAGGCCGTCAAGACACACAGCCCTGGACCCTTGGCAAAATATGACTTCACATGCCAGTCAGTAGTTGGAACAGAGAAGCTGGCCTGTGACCTGGGAAAGCCGACACCAAGGTCCCAGTTTGTTCCCAAAACACTTTAGCAGCACAGCGCCGCCCCTCTGGGCTCTGAGAGACATGAAAACAGTTGTGACAGGGCTTTGTGAGGGAGAAGACAGCAGCTCTTGGCCTGCAAGGCTGCGTGAATGG